AGAGCAAAGATAATTAAGGTGAAGTTCTTGAAAACGCTCCAGAGCACCTATAAACTACCTGAATTATATACACTACTGCATGTGAACATCTGTATGTATGTGTCCATGTGGATTTTTTTTGAGGGGGGGTTAATTGCATAAGCTTTTCATCTGTATTGATTATATTTTTTTAAAGCTGTGAACCCTTGCTTTGCAGCTGCCACTATCCCAATCTACATATATAGCCCCTTGCCTGCATCAACACAAAACCCCTACATTCTTTGTTAATTAACAGATTCTCAAGTGTTTACTCTTAGACAAATATTATAGAATCCTTCTCTGGCTTATTTCGGACAGAAATTAGTATTATGTACCACTGTCATATAATACACCTTGGAAAACACATGCAAAAAAGTTGCCTGGCAGTTTGCAAATCACGCCGAGTTAGAGAAAAGTATACTTGCCAGAAATCAGAAATAAATCTCTCTTTTTTTTTGAGAGATGGAATCTTGCTCTGGCACCCAGGCTGGAGTGCAGTGGCATGATCTCAGGTCACACTCACTGCAACGTCCACCTTCCAAGTTCAAGCGATTCTTGTGCCTCAGCCCTCCGAATAGCTGGGACTACAGGTGCATACTACAATGTCAAGCTAATTTTGGTATTATTAGTAGAGACAGGTTTCACCATGTTGGACAGGCTGGTCTTGAACTCCTGACACTAAGTGATCTATCTGCCTTGCCCTCTCAAAGAGCTGGCATTACAGGTGTGAACCACCATGCCCGACTACAAATAAATCTCTTAAATTTGGAGATGGAACCAAAGAGATGGTCACTTTCATAGTATCTTTATTTCTCCATATCGTTCTAACACAAAAAAGTGACTCAACTGAAATATAAAAGTCTGTGGTCTGTAAATGCACATACCAAAAATTCAAAGGAGACCCACAAAGCTGAAACACAGAACGGATATGAAGATGACGAGTGAAGTATTCAGGGGTGACCTGCCCAAACATCCCTGATAAAAATAATAGCAGTAATGATAATAATAGCTGTAATGGTGACACCATAATTTATAGCTGTAACCCTTGACTATAACCAAAGCACTTTTCACATACATGTGTCAGGCTGATACAATGACTACCATTTCATAGACTGTGACACGAAGGCTCAGAGAAGTTCACATCTTGTCCACACCACAGTTATTGAATAGGGAGGCTGAGGCATAGCTACACATCTCCCACTTCTAAATGCTGTGTTTTGTTTAACATTTTACTTTAGATCACAGAATAAATGTTAGGCCTTAATCCTTCCCAATGTCTGGATGTGTTGTTAATTGTTCACTGAAATCCAGAAAAATCAAGGTGCTAGAGAGCGCCAATTCACCATTTTCTCTACTGCTATGGAATTCATGTGTTGGTGGATGGGGTAAGCTGGTATGAAGGAAACATCACGGGAAGTAGCAAAATAAGAAACTTGGCCTTAGAGTCCTTTGAAGCTATTTTAAAAACTAAAATGTTATGTTAAGAACTATGTGGTGTATCTCTCTGTGTATGTAATTATTATTCCATTGATTTATTGCACACATGTCAAAGAGTGTCCGGGCATTTGTACAAGTTCAAACAAACCAACCAAAGAGCCAACCCACATAGCCACAAACCAAGACAACTTGCTCATACCCCTCACTCCACCCTTCATCTTACCAACCCTAAATGCAAATTCCTTAGCAGCACAAACCTTCCTTACAAAGATGAACAATTAAACCATGACATCTGTCATTTATACTATTCTAAAAGAGCAGCCAAAGCCAGTTGATGGCACAGATATAGCAGGGCTCTTCCCATTCTAAAGAGAGCCCCTTTCAGTTTTGGCAAAAGCTTTCAGCAATGACTACGGAATCAAATTGCAAAGAGCTATCACACGTAACCTCCTTTGAGGATGCGCACCATATCTTTTTTTTTTCATACCTTTTATTTTAGGTTCATGGGTACATGTGCGGGTTATATAGGTAAATTGTGTGTTACAAGTTTGGTGTACAGATTATTTCATATGAATTTAAACTCAGATTTTTCATTGTAGGGCATGATGAAACACAACCTATCTCATCTACTGAATACTCACCCACTAACCCACCACACAATAGGTAGAAAGACTCTTATTTACCTCTGGCATCCCAAAGTGTGGGGAAATCACTTTAAAGTATTCTACCTTGCTGCTGAAAATCTTCTGACTATAATCCAACAATTAGAGCGATTTCAACCTAAATTGCTCCCCCGAAGAGACAGACATAATTAGGTAAATTTCTCCTCTGTTTCCATATACAAAGAGATCTTGTAAGAAAAAAAAAAAAAAGGCAAAAGAAAATTCCTTAGCCATTTCCAGCTAATAAAATCAGTAACCTCACACTCTCAACTTCAAAGCAGAAGATTTAGAAAATCATCTCACTTTCTCTGCACATGGAGAATATTTTTTTTTTCTACTTCAAAGCATCATCCCTTTATTGGGTCATTTTAATTATTGAAAGTGGGACAAAAGCTATCCATATAATGTCACCACTGTCTTTTTCATGAAATATGTATAGGTCTAATTTGGACTACATTAATTTGAGAGAGGTAAACTATAGGGAGGGGAATGAGAAAGGAAAGAAGCCAAGGAATAAAGCCCCCATCAGTACAAGATAGTGAGAGGAAAAGCCTTTCTGAGCTGACTTCTCATTCATTTTCCCTGCAGAGGAACTATCAAGAAACCTGACTGCTGGTTTGGGCAAGCAGACTGCCTTGCTTCTCAAATTCTCTCCTACCCAACAACACACAGTAACAATATTACACTAACTGTATTGGTAATCTGGGAATTAGTGACAAAACATGGGTACAAGCAGTTGCTTTTTGAATAATACAGTGAAGAAAAATTTGTGCTCTAGAACAGCGGTCAGCAAACTATCTTGCTCCATTTAGAGTACCACAGCCAGAGAGAAGACTAGCTGGGCATTCTAATGCCCACTCACTCCTTTTCCCACAAAATCGCAATGCCAGAAATTGGCAAACTTTCTGTAAAAAGCCAGACAGTAAATATTTTCAGCTTTGTGGGCCATACAATATCTATTGCAACTGTTCAACTCTGCTGTTGTAGCACAAAAGCAGCCAAAGACAACATGCAGATGAATGGGTATGGCTGTGTTCCAATAATACTTTATTTACAAAAGCAGGCACAGGACCAGATCTGGCCCACAAGCCATAGTTTTGGTTGACCCCCATTTGAGACAAGTACTCAACAGTAGAAATGTTCTCTAGCTGTGCTGTCTAATACAATAGCCACTAGCCACATGTAACTGTTAGTACTTGATAGGTGGCTAATGTGACTATAAAATTACATTTTAACTTTCACTGGATTTTAATTAATTTCAGTTTACATAGCCCCATGTGGCTACAGTCTTAACACAGTTCTAGATACTATTCACTGCTGCCTCCTCAAAGGAGATACAACCCAACTTCCAATTTATAGTATAGATTAAGCGTTTGTCTTAAAAAATAAAATATCCATATCTTTGCATTCACAGTGGAACTATACACAACTGAAAATGATATTTCTTTTTTTTTTTTTTTGAGACGGAGTTTCACTCTTGTTACCCAGGCTGGAGTGCAATGGCGCAATCTCAGCTCACCGCAACCTCCGCCTCCTGGGTTCAGGCAATTCTCCTGCCTCAGCCTCCTGAGTAGCTGGGATTACAAGCACGCGCCACCATGCCCAGCTAATTTTTTGTATTTTTAGTAGAGACGGGGTTTCACCATGTTGACCAGGATGGTCTCGATCTCTTGACCTCGTGATCCACCCGCCTCGGCCTCCCAAAGTGCTGGGATTAAAGGCGTGAGCCACCGCGCCCGGCCAATAATATTTCTTAAATGTGAAATATCTACATCATTGAGGCCAAGGTGATTGTTTTGAATTGAAGCAATCAGGTAACTGCCTATCAGCCAATGGTCAAAGGCATAGGGGCTGAGTCAGGTTCATGCTAAGACCCATCCAATCTGGACCATGTTTTCTTCCTCCTCTGGACACTGTCCTGAACCTTGAATGAGAGCACAGACCTACTCAACCGTCTCATTAACTCCTAAGACAAATCCAAACCTCCCCACAGATGCTAAAATATATACATGCAAAGACACAGCTCAAAAAGTCCAAGAGAGAGCATGCATGCTGATTAGAATGCCTTCTAAAGTAATACACACAGCACACTGCCTCAATACAAAATCAGGAGATTCACCACATTTTTCCCTATTGCCTGCTGCATCTGACAACTATTTTATTTACACAATAACTAGCTTGTGTTTTGCATTTCTTAGCAAACTCAAAGATATAATCCAGAAAGGAAAACAAGGAAAATAGGATAGTAACATATTTTTGTTGTTCTTCTAAGCATGAATAAGAGATAACAAACCAGTATTTCCTTTGAGAAACTCACACAATATCAGCTTTCTCCAATGGGTAAAAGAAATTGAAGATATTCCCTAGTAAATAAGAAAACTTTGGAAACACAGGTGCCAGAAGGGGAACCCATACAGATGATGCACAGCAAAGTAAGGCAGATGACATTCCAGTTATTTTATGATTTTTGATAAAATGAAATCATTCTAGATCCAAGCACTTAACTATGGTTACCAAATCCAAAATGCTCTGAAGAATGAAAAAAAGAAATTCCAAGTGTGAACCAAACATCTCTGGTGGCACAACATCATGCAAACTGACAAGAGTCTAGTTATACAGTCTGTATTTATCCTACTTAGTGTGAGAAATTTTTTTTTCTGCAGAAATATTCATGTGTTTGCTTATGGGGTGTTGCTACATTTTCACTTGCAGTGTTACACAATCTATACAATGCATCTCGCCTTTCTGAAAGCCCAGTGGGCATTTCAAAATACATCTGGCCCCAAGGGTTTGGATAAAGGGTCTTCTGAGGAGAGATGTTCAGATAGGGCATTTTCTATCAACTCAATGTCTGCTGTATAGAATCCTGAGACAGTGCCTTACCTCAGTCTGAAGGATGGCAGCCCTCTGTTCTTTGGCAGTAAGTGACTCTTTGAGCACTTCAATGTGTTGCTTGCAATCTGAATTTTGATTGCTAAGAGTTTCAAGCTTTGTTTGTAAGGCAAGAAGTTCCGACTCCTTCTTTGAAAGTTCCTGCTTCAGTTGATCAATCTGCAAAACAACAAAATTGAAAGAAATTAGAAATTGCTGCCCCTACACTTTACATTGGACAACAACTGATTTCTTTCCATTTCAGCAGCCAGTGATCAACAATTTAACAAGGCAGGCCATGAATTTTCTTAAAAGGATGAGCTTGGGAATCACACAGTCTTTGGGATCTGGAGGAAAATCTGTAAATGTGGCTGAGAGTATAGAACATAGGAATGGAAAGGTCAGCAGACTGCCTCCCATCCCACTGTGGACCAAATTTCACAATGGAAATGAAGACTTCCTGGCCAAACCTACTCATCTAGGAAACTATCAAGTCTATTACCACCATGGTCCTGAGGAGAGTCAACAGGGATCTAACATGGGTAATTAAATCAAGGCATAACTCCACAGTGCAAATAATCGTTCAAGGGCAGCATTTGAAAAAAGAATCCTAAAAAAGCAAGTAAGAATTGGGGATCTTCTTTTTGCTTACATTAAATATTGAGAAGATACAAAAGAACATAAAATATACATAAGATATAAGATAAAGTGGCAAAAATAAGCCATCATTCAATTCACCATAAAAGATCACTAGAATTATCTATGTCCCATACCATTTCTATCTCCTCTTCCCATTTGGAAATAATTACCACCTCAAATTTTGTGTTTATCATTTCTTTCCTTGTCTCTTAGGCTTATCATATATTTTTGCATCCATAAATAATATACTATTTGGTTTTGCATGTTTTTAAACTTTATTTGGGATACAAACTTTTTTTTATTACTTTGCTTTTTTCCTACTCAATCTCATGTCCTGGAGATTAAATCACAATGTTGTACAGAGTTCATTCATTTTCTCTGAAGTAGAGTATTCCATTGAAAGACTTCATCACAATTTATTTATCCATTCTGCTGTTGATAGAAATTTGGGTTTATTCTTAGGTTTTTTGCTACTATAAACAGTACTATTCTGAATATTCTTATACATATAACCTGTTTCACATAGCAATAATATTCTCAAATGCCTAAGATTTAAATTGCTGAACCACATAACATATTCATCTTCAATTACACTAGATAAAACAAAAATGTTTTCCAAAACAGTTCTATTAATTTACACGATCACGAGCACCTTGCAAGTATGCCAATCACTCCACTTCTTTACCAATAACTTATGTCACTGGTCTTTTACATTTTTGCCAATTCGATATGCGTTGTGCAGGTAGATTACCTGCAGAGATATCATCTACTAATTCCTTCCTACTTGTACACAAATGTTGCTCCTCACAACTAGAACTGAAGTTTAACTTCTTGAACCTGGGCTAGACTGTTACTTCCTTCTGCCAACAGCAAAATAATCAGTATACCTGTTGTAGCCCTAGCCTACAAGAGGACTGGCAGGTTCTGCTTCTACCCACTGGAAGCCAGCCACCACGTTCTAGAAGCTCAACAATGCTGTGGCCACCACGCTGTGAGGAAGACCATACCAGACATATGGACAGGCCATGCATAAAGACAGAGAGGCCTGTTGGTCATGTCGGCCCCTTTCTCTTGTTTCAGGTATTAAAGGGAAGAATTTCAATGCTTCAGCATTAAATTTTGTGTTTGCATTGGGTTTTTTTATAGACATTTTATTAGGCTTTGCATTATTACAACTATGCCAAAAGTATTTTTTAATCATTAGTGAATGTTTAACATTACCAAACATTTTCTTTTCTGTATCTCATGATTTATCACCATCTTTTAACCTTATACGTTACTGTAATGAATTGCATTAACGAAATTTTTAACTTTAATCTCCCCTGGAAAAAACCCATTCTGTCATTAATTTTTTTTTAATTTTACTTTAGGATTTAGGGTCCATGTACAGATATGCAGGATTGTTGCATAGGTACATACATGGCAAGGTGGTTTGCTGACTTCATGCCCTCATCACCTATACCTGGCATTTCTCACCATGTTATCCCTCCCATCCTTCCCACCTCCTGCTGTCCCTCCTCTAGTCCCCCACAAGAGACCCCAATGTGTGATGCTCCCCTCCCTGTGTCCACGTGTTCTCATTGTTCAATACCCGCCCATGAGTGAGAACATATGGTGTTTGATTTTCTATTCTTGTGTCAGTCTGCTGAGAATGATGGTTTCCAGATTCATCCATGTCCCTACAAAGGACATGAACTCATTGTTTTGTATGGCTGCGTAGTATTCTATGGTGTATATGTGCATATCCAAAAGTGGACAAAGGATATGAACAGACACTTTTCAAAAGACGGCATATATGAGGCCAACAAACATATGAAAAAACACTCATCATCACTGGTCATTAGAGAAATGCAAATCAAAACCACATTGAGATACCATCTCATGCCAGTTAGAATGGCAATCATTAAAAAATCTGGAGACAACAGATGCTGGAGAGGATGTGGAGAAACAGGAATACTTTTACAGTGTTGGTGTGAGTGTAAACTAGTTCAACCATTGTAGAAGACAGCGTGGCAATTCCTCAAGGACCTAGAAATAGAAATACCATTTGACCCTGCAATCCCATTACTGGGTATTGTTCTATTACATATTTTTATACGTTACTGGATTCAGTTTGCCAATATTTTGTAAGGATTTTTAATTTATGTGTATAACTGAGATTGGTTTATAATTTTCCCAACCTATACTGTTCTTTTCAGGTTTTAATACCAATTTAGCCTTCCAAATGAAGTAGGAAGTGTTCCTTCTTTAAATGTGTTCAGAAATGGTTTCTGTGAAATTGAAATTTTTTTACATTAATGTGCATTAGAAATCACCAGCAAAACCATTCAGAGCTGCTATTTTCTTTTCCAAAGAACATTACTTACTAATCCACTTTTAATGGCTACAGGAATAATCAAGTTTCTAATTAGTTGATTCAATGTTGATATATTTTTTTCTCCCAAAGAATTTTTTGTTTCATCTAAATTTTCACACTTATTTGCAGGAAATTTTTATAAAACCCACTTATCTTTATATAAATAGTATCTATGATTATGTCTTGCTTTTCATTCTAATATTCTACATTATTAACCTCTACTTTTTAAAAGTTTTATTTTAGCTTTAACTAGTCTTTTTCCTGATGAATCTCAGTAGAGGCATGTCAAGTGAAGTATCAAGGAGCCAAACTGGCTACATTGATTATGCAATTACACTTTTACTTTCTGTTTCATCCATGTCTGCTATTTTTAAATATTTCTTTCCTTCTACTTTCTTTGGGCTTATTCTATTTTTCTATTTTCTTTTCCTAACTTTTTAAGTTGGATGCTTATCACACTAATTTTCAGCCTTGTTTCACTCCTAGGATAAGCCTTCAGACTATAAGGCTTAATTTGGTTTTCTTTAAATTTGCTTGGTTTCTTATAGTCTCTTGCTCTTTATTCATATTTTTAATCTCTTATTTATTTGAACATATTAAACACACTTAATATTTCATAGTCTTTTTCTTATAATTAGAACTTTTGAAGTCTTTGCTTTCTGATTCTGCTCTTTATTCTTTCTACTGGCTATCACTTATGTGGCCTGTTTTCTTTCAGGTTTTGTGATTTTTCTCTTTTTTTGTACTGTGTACTGGGTTTTTTCGGGAACTTTACCTGGAAAAATGCTTTAAGGCCTATGTGGTCCTTTAGAGAATTTGCCTCTGCCAATAGCTGGGGGCCCTATCAACCAAGAATGTAGCTACATTCTCTATCTGAAGTTTTTAGATCATCTTGCACAGCACATCCATGCAAGAGCCGGCTGTGGTTATGGATTCTGAGGACAATTTTTCATCTTTTACTTGACTCAAAGCTTTAAAACAGAAAATTTTCCCTGGAGTCCCCTAAGTGTGAGGAGGGGGAAATATGGTAAGGTTATTCTTAGTTTGCCTCTGCAGTAGCAGTATAGGTGTCTGGAATCCCAGCTTTATTTGGTGGTGGTAGTAAGGTTCCTACTATGCCTCATCTTGAGTAGGCCCAGACTTCTGTCTTTTTTCTTTGATGTCCTTGTGGCTATGAAAACCAGGGCTCAAGTTCATCTATCTAAAAATTGCCAACAAGAATAAATAACCTGATATGGTTTAGTTGTGTCCCCATCCAAATCTCATCTTGAATTGTAGCTCCCATAATTCCCACGTGTCATGGGAGGGACCCAGCAGGAGGTAATTGAATCACGGGGACAGGACACGTCTTTCCCATGATGTTCTCATGATAGTGGATAAGTCTCATGAGATCTGATGGTTTTATAAAGGGCAGTTCCCCTGCATACACTCTCTTGCCTGCTGCCATGTAAGATAGGACTTTGCTTCTCATTTGCCTTCTGCCATGATTGTGAGGCCTCCCCAGCCATGTAGAACTGTGAATTCATTAAACCTCCTTCCTTTATAAATTATCCAGTCTTGGGTGTGTCTTTAGTAGCAGAATGAGAACAGACTAATACATAACCCATACTCTACTTATCATACAAGCTCCCTGCTATGGCTTAGCTCTGACCCTTGAGGTTCTTTCTTACTCAAGAGCTCATGTACATTTTAAAACGTATGTTTAAAAAATAAATTTCATTCAGGATTTTTTGTTGTTTTCAGCAAGAAAACTGACATAAACAATAACAAGCTACTGACAACATCAGGTGACCAGGAACAGGAGTGAGACTCCCATGTTCAGAAGGGTTCAGGTTGCACAACTTAGTAAAAAGGTTTATATGAATGGAAATTCCATTTGCAAGAAGTCAGACTACATCAGGGAACAAACAAGCTTCATCTTGCTAGCCAGATCTAAAGGATTGGTGTGGCTAAACAAAAAATGGTCTTGAGAAGGCTTCTGAGTATGCATAAAGATTCACTGGGAAAAAACCATGACTGCTTATCAAAGTGCCCCAGTTATATGTGAGAAAGTGAGCACTGCTCAGGTATGTGCAGTTTCTGAAACACATTATTTCTTTATAACTTAATGAATCATGAGTCTGTAGTCATTTTTATGTGGAACAAAAATAAGAAGTTCTCTCTGAGATGTAACAAGAATACAGTATAAATAAAAAGAGGAAAAATCAGAATTAGGATTACTTAAAATGATAAAAGACATTAAAATCTGTTAAGATCAACATGATCAGCACTCTTTTCAGGGTGGGGGGCATGGCCCCAAATCGTATCCAGTTGTAGTTGACAGCACAGTTTATAGTTGATTCCACATATGAAACTGATTCATCTGAAATTAACCCTCAAAAACTTTCAATTCTACACACCTAAGCAAAGATGATGTTTATAGTTAAAAAACTGATTTGTGCTAACTTCCACAAATACCACAGTAGAAAGCTAGTGGGGGGGGGTTGGGATATTGAGAGGGAAATGTAAAGGAAATAAACTGGATATAGAGAATGGGGTTTAGTCAGGAGGAAGGGCATGGCAGGTTCTACATATACCTCCTTTATTCAATAAAAGTAGATTGATAATGATAAAACTATTTCAGTCTATAAATATTAAATAGGCAGTGACTCTAAATAGCTTTCAGATATTGCTGCCATAAGGCAAACTTTAAATAAATATTTATACAGACAATAACAGAAAAAGGCTTTTCTAAGGGGAATATAGTTGCAGGGCAAAAAAAATCATATTTTCCCATAAAAATATGCCTTTTGCTTCTTTTACAGCCATAAATTCCATAAAAATGGAAAGTGATGCAATCGAACATACATGAGAACTGAGGCCAGGGAAGGTCTGTCTCTGTGATGGCCAGAAGAAAAGCCAATCGGAATTACATCACATGCTTTATATGAAGTCCATGTGGACATCAGGCACACTTCATCCCGTCTGAAAATTCTTCCCCCACTTCCATCTATGACACAACCTACACCCTGAAAAAAACAGTCTGCCAAGGAAAACAGCTTCTTTTTCACTACAGATATGGCTCTCATGTCTAGAAAGTGATATGCTTACTATCATGCAGTTTGGGTTATGAGGTTTGTAATCTATCAGAGGTTTATAAGAAAATGTGTTACAAATTCAGAATAAAGGAGGAGATCTAAGACAGCAGATCAGCGTCTCTGGCAAACACTGGAAACAGAGGGAGCAGCTAATATAGAAATACTGGAATGAGTAGATGAAAAATGTGTTAGACTAGGAACAAAGCCTTGTATAGAAAGGAAATGCCATTATTCTTTCCCTACCAGAAAAACAATTATGTATTTGGTATGTTCCATTCTCTGAGGCTTCATAGAGCTCCTAAAAGTAATTCATGCTTTCCATGGCCTCTGAGATTCAGCTCTCACAGTTTGATTCCTCTAACCCTTCAGTGTTGGGTAGGAATTGGAGTTTCCAACATGGGAGAGTTGCACATCTGAGATCTCCCAGAGGCTCAGTTCTCAGAGACAATGTTCAGGTGCCAAAGGACTTCCAAGATGACAGGATTTCTACCCTGGCTGACTATGTTTAGTATTCCTGCCTTCACACAAGCTGAGTTTTGCAACCCACCTTCCACCTTTCCAAAAATATTATATCATGGTTTTTCTATGATATCACATTTGTAAAAGCAATTCAGGCATTCATTGCTATTTAATTTAACAACAGAGCTTTCAAGAGGCCCTACCAATTCCAACTACCTGCTCTGGATCAACATGGAAGTGTACCTCCTTCCACAAGGCTATTTAAAATACTTTCTTTCCCTCCAATCTACATGATTTATTCATTTTAATAAGTAATGCAAGCAGCATTCCCAGGCTTAAATGAGGAATCACACTCATCACTCAAAGTAGGAGAATTGGGCTGAGTGTGGTGGCTCACATCTGTAATTGCAGCACTTTGGGAGGCTGAGGCAGGCAGATCACTTGAGCTCAGGAGTACAAGACCAGCCTGACCAACATGATAAAACCCAATCTGTACGAAAAAAATACAAAAATTAGCTGGTGTGGTCATGTGCACCTGTAATCCCAGCTATTCAGGAAGCTGGGGTGGGAGAATTGCTTGAACCAGGGAGGTGGAGGCTGCAATGAGCCAATATCGCACCACTGCACTCCAGCCTGGGTGACAGAGTGAGACCCATCTCAAAACAAACAAAAAAACCAAGTAAAGGAATTAAGAAAAATAAGTAATTAATAATAGGAAACATTAGCAATAAATGTTATAGTTCAATCCAATAAGAACATTCTTTCAATGGAGAAAATATTAAAAACTGACCCTCACTAGTACATTTTAGCTATTTTTTAACAGTAAAAGGGGTAGGTGCATAACATTCTAAGAATTCTTTTTATTTGTATTTCTTAGAAATCTATTTTCCCATTAGTCAAGTTAAACATAACACTTACTATTTGGTTATAGTACTTCAATAATAATATTTATAATTATAAGCTACTTTTTTGAGCCACATACTTTAACCACAATATTTCATTTTAATCTTCATTTAGTCCATCTGAACCATCCTGTGAGGTTAGTACTATTGCCCCTATTTTATAGAAGAAAGTGCGGTCGAGTGACTTTGGTCACTCCTCAAGTCACTCCCTATGCAGCTGGCAAAGGGAGGCTGGAGACTTGCTGGAGTCTGATTTTGTCTTCAGTCTGCACTCTTTCCACCTCACTCCACTACTTTCCTCAAACATTCTTCTGACCTGACCACTTTTGGAACCATTAAAAATAACTAGCCATTAAAAGTTAAATCTAACTCAAGGATTGATGGTCTCTCAGACAAATGTGGGCTAATAAAGGTCATGACTTGCTGAAGATCATATAAATGTTTTATTCACCTGGACAGAGTCCATGATGAGGGGCAGAGTTTACAAATTTCATGACATTTTCAGCTGTAGAAGTGGCTTGAACAATCTCCCATTGTGGAATAACAGAGTCAGAAGGAAAAGTTTAAGCCAAAACAATAATTTCCCCCAAACTTCTTGAGTTCACTCGTATCTGTGCCTCTGGTCTTCATTCCCAGAATGATTTGGGCACTGTCTGCAGGTCACCCTAGTACTGTGACTGCCGAACCTTGGCTCAACTCTCTGAGAAAGAGGAACTGCAAGAAACAAACCAGAAGGACGGACTGAGCAGGGAAACTCATTCTGCATTTTGAGGCAGTCCCTGGTTTCATTCAAATCCACTGGACAGTCCCCTCATATCTCAACACCTTGATCCACATTTTCAGCACAATCTCAACATCTAGTGAGAGATGGAAACTTGACAGAAGTAAGCAGTTTTGTGTTTTTTCCTTAAGGAAACATACATGCATGCAAGCACGCACACACACACACACACACACACACACACACACACAAGTCGTGGTTAAGTAAATGCTAGATAGATATCATTATTTCCTCCCTATAACTTGCAAACTCAGCAAGGAGTATGCACATATTTCACAACCGATAAAAATCATTTAAACATTTTTCTCTCCTCTCCCACTGCTTTCTCACAGAGGTTTGCATTACTCTAACTCTGCTGCACTTCATAAAGCAACAAACAAGATTAAAACCTAGAACAAGAGAACAGGCATATTTAAGAGCAAGTGGTAGAAAAAAAAAGAAAAAAATATTTTTTTAATTGATATGGTTATTAATTTCAGAAGGAAAATGATTTAAACAGAGGAAGAGATAAAAGTATTTCAGTCTCAAAAGACCTATTTGGGCTATTCATAAATTTAATAATTATGCATATGTGAAAATAATAGATACTCAGGTGCTTGGTCCATTTAAAGCCCCAAGTTTATTTTTGAAAAATGCTAGCCAAAATCTTTAAAACTGACAATAACAATATAAACTAATGGAGCAAGTTACTCAAAAATATTTTATAAAGATTCCATAGCAATAGATAACAATAATAATATTAATACTATTATCAAGAACAATGCCTGACATTTAACAGATACTTTCTAGAGATCAGACAAGGGACTAAGGGCTTTAAACGAAAATCTCTTGGAATCATCAGACCAACCCAATAATGTAGGTATTTTTCTTAGCCCTATTTCATGGATAAAGAAACTGAGGCTTAGGGAAGTTTAATGATTTAACTAAATGGCAGCATTGGGACTCAAAACTATTTATGTCTTAAATGCTATGCTAAAACCAAAAGAGCTTAATAACTTTTTTTTTCTTTTTAAAATACAGTCTTGCTCTGTCGCCCAGGCTGGAGTGTAGTGGTATGATCTTGACTCACTGCAACCTCCATCTCCCGAGTTCAAGAGATTCTCCTGCCTCAGTCTTCTAAGCAGCCGAGATCCATGCCCAGCTGATTTTTGTATTTTTTGTAGAGACAGGATTTCACCATGTTAGCCAGGCTGGTCTTACACTCCTGACCTCAGCTGATCTGCCCACCTCTGCCTCCCAACCTAATAACATTTAAATGAGTTAAATTGGCTTATAGTAACAATATATTTTGAGACAATCACCTTCTAAGAGAAGCAAGAAATTTGGCAACGATAGCAACTTCAAAAAAATAGCAAACTTATAACGATGGTGGAAATTTGGAAGAGAGTGGACTATAAATATGTTAATTCCCAAGAAAGAGGAACACCAAAGGAATTCCTAATTAAAGCCTGAACCTCTCAGTAAGGAGAAATTCCACCAAAGGCTTTCCCTGACTGCTTTTTGGAAGCTATATGTCTGAAACAAAAATCTTACGCATTCTCCTTTTTTGTCCATATATTAAATAATATCACATAAAGCATATTATATGAGTATTTGAAAAAAGTATGTATGTAGACTGTAACTTTCTAGTCACATTAAGAACATAAAAGTTTATAACCCTGGACCGTACCTTGGTCTTCATAAACTTGGAGTGACTTTTGTAAACCTCAATTTGTTTGATCTCTTCTTCACGGTCCTCAGTGTTCAGCACACCATTGGCTTTTAACATCTGGATCTCATCCTCAAGATCCCTTATGTTTCGCTCCAATGAAGCGATTTTTGTGTCCTGTTGGTAAAGAAGAAAAGAAAAATAAAAATAAAGAATAAAAATTATTTTTAAGATCATCAAAACAGAATTTAAGAAAGTAATTTTGGTAGTGCTGCTAAACACTAACCATGGTGTAGATACAGCCCCAAATTCAGGACAATTTACTTTGTTCACAGTTGAGGATCATTTGTGAGATGATGGTTTAAGCTCCCAATCAAGATCATGTGTAAATACAATACAGAGAATTACCTAAATATGTTTGTCCAATATCTGGGAATCAAATTACCAAAGCAACGGTGATAAAAGTAATCTAAGTGTTAAAAAACAAAACAGAACACCATGTAAGTAAACAGCTTTTAATTTGGGATACAGTTTACTAGTGTACATTTTTGAATCCACTTATAAACACAAAAATAGTTTATGTGTATATTTTATGGCTGATTTTTGTAAGGCATGCTTGGAATTTGACTCTGAGAGAGAAAGAAATTCAAATCTACTAATGGGAAAAAGGATTCTTATCTAAAATACAGACATAAGTGAAACTAAATAACTGAATCTTGACTTAGTATGACTGATACACTAAATATTGAAAATTTATAGTGATTGGAAATAATACATCACAATGTCATAATTCATTTGGCGAGCAGTCAGGTCCCTATGTTACAAAACACATGACTACCTTGCAGGGCATTTCAACCTATTGATTTATGGAGCTAGCAACTAGAAATATTACACTCAGATGTGGAATTAATTGGGAAAAGTTACCAATGACAGACTCTATACACAAGATAGAGCATGAGAAACAATGCATTAGAAAGTAGTGAAGAGACAGCTCTCATAGGGGAACCAAAACAACAAAAAAAATGGCAAAAATTTTTCCATAACAGTATTAGGCTTCAATTGGTCTTTGGAATGAAAGTATGACACATGAAAAACTGACTTCAGGTTTTCTCAGTGTCACATCTGCCCACCATTTTATCGCACAGAGTTAAGGAGCTCATATTAAATTTGTCACTGTATGCTAACACAGAACAATCTACCAATTTTTTAAAACAATTCATTTTCTCAGAATCAAAAAGACTCAGAATTCCAAAAGTAAAGACAATTAATAGGCTATTCTATTTATAAGTTACTCATTTTTAAACACTTTGCAACAAATGTGTTTGTCCTGACTTTATGGCTATTGTCTACTTTATTTTCCTATATTATATGCCCAACGGCATATCTCCTATGGAAATGTAATAATTACCATTGTTATTAACATTGTCATCATGTTAAAAGGAGGAAAAAGAGGAGAAGCAAATTTATGCAACTCTATTATGTGCCAAGAAGTGAGTACTCTAAGTTCTGTAGACACTTTTATTAATTCTCAGAAAAACTTCAAGAGACGAAATAAAAAGATTTTCAAAATTCCAAGATTATTAGGAAATGGAACATTCCATAGTATTTCATTTTCCTTTAAAAATAATACCTATTTTATTTTTCAGTTGTAAAAGCAATATACTTTGAATTCACAGAAAATGAAGAAAACCTCCTCTAATCTTACTGTCTAGAAATAACTATCATTAACGTTTTTATGTATATTTGGCTAGTATTTTTCTATTTAGATACCATTTCTGGAAATCTTGTATGCTACCAGTTTAAATTTTAAAAAGTGTTATGGACTGAATGTTGTGTTTCCCAAAAATGTGTATGTTGAAACTCTAACCCTCAATGCGATCGTATTTAGAGATGGGGCCTTTAGTAGGTAATTAGGACTAGATGAGGCTAGGAGAGTAGGGCCCTGGTAATGGGATTAGAGCCCTTATAAGAAGAGACACCAGGGAGCCTGCTCATTCTCTCTCCACCAAGAAATGACATAGGAAGAATGCAGCTATCTACAAGCCAGGAAGAGAGTCCTCACCAGAGCCTTATCATGCTGGCACCCTAATCTCAGCCTTCTAGCCTCCCAAGAACTGTGAGAAAAACAAATCTCCATTACTGAAGCCAACCAGTCTATGGTACTTTGCTAAGACAGCCAAGCTCACAAATATAGGGAGTGATACTTAGAGACTTACTTGGGTCTCTATGAGAACTTTGTAGATAAAAAGAAAGATAATAATGGAAGCGCTATAGAAAAACAATTTCTAGAAGTTGATAAGAGAGTTTCCAATTAAATAAGAGTCATTTCAAATCAACATGCTTCAGGCTATAAAATCAAGAAAGACTCAATATACAAAAATTGAAAAGCTATATAGATAATTATGATTATTCATAATCCCACCACTCAGATATACTTACTATTAACATTTGTATTCATTCCTATGAAAGCCTTAAGAGTATATTTTCACCTTAAAACATACAAAAAGATATTTCAATTAAAACTGTAATCAGTATGATATAGATTTCTTCTATTGAGATACAAATTGGCTGTTGATAAGATTTACAAATACCTGAGTGTAATATTTAAGAGTTTACACATAGCTAAGTACAATCTTTATAAGAACTGAACTGTAAAGTAAGTGTGAAGGTAAGGGCTAATATCCCACCTCTTCCTATATAAAATTTCCTAGGATTTTCTAGGAAATCCTAAATCTAAGTGACCATATTAACATGTATGTATCTAAACTCAAATCTAAGTGACCATATTAACATGTATGTATGTATACATATATACCTAGGTAAATATATTTGTAGCATGTGTGTGTGGCACAACACACTTTGAAGTCTTCACATCTTAGACCTTAATTTTTTCATAATACTTGGTAGAATTCCAACTCCCAATCATGGAGGCAAGAAGAGATGACTCTGCTTCCTCACAAGGCTCAGTTTTCCTCTCAGTAAACTCCTGAGGCTTTAGTGAGCAAGGACTTCAACTGCCAACTTCTAAATAAATGGCTTAGAAGGAACTTTCACTGGATACAAGAATTACATACTGCTAAAGAAAGATCAGAACTGGATTAAGATAGAAAGTTTCTTAATACAGCAAAGCTTCTTGACATCTAAGTTAAAATTTCACCAAATGGTGAAACATATTTTGAAAACCTTTTTTACTTTTATTAGTTTTCTCAAATTAAGCAACACCCTTCTTTTTCCTCACAAACTTCTTTCTTCTCTCGCTCTGTTGCCCAAGCTGGAGTGCAGTGGTGCAATCTTGGCTCACTGCAGACTCCACCTTCCAGGTTCAAGTCATCTCATGCCTTAGCCTCCCAAGTAGCTGGGATTACCAGTCTGTGCCACCACAACCAGCTAATTTTTGTATTTTTAGTAGTGACGGGGTTTCACCATGTTGGCCAGGCTAGTCTCAAACTCCTGACTTCAAGTGATCCACCCACCTCAGCCTCCCAAAGTGCTGGGATTACAGGTGTAAGCCATTGTGCCCAGCTATACTCCTGTTCTTATATAAAAAGTCAATTTCAAGGGCAACAGAACTCATGCCTCACATCATAAGCACGAGAAAAGTAGGTAGGAAAATATCATTAGGATTCAAAGAACCAATACAAAAAATACAGATATATCAGATGGTTTGGGGTTGTGCCCAAGAAGATATTCAAAATGCCAAGCCAGAGAAGGACTGAGGAAATATAAGCAGGAAAATTAAAAGCAAGCAAAATGGCTGCCATGTCTACCGCTTTTTTTTCCAACTGCCTCAGTCCAAAGAATTCAGAGGAAAGAAATATTGTCATTTTCTTTTTTAAAACATCTCTAACATTAAGATAAATGACTAAAACCTTATATGTATAAGGAGGACTATGGAAATCCATATCAAGTCCTGATATGGCTGAATGTGATATATGGATGTTGAGATACGAAATGCACATGGCTCAGAAACTCAACACACTAATCTAGAACAGAGAAAAAAAAAAAAAAAAAAAACAAAAAAAACTTAAAGACATATCAACATATAACTTCCTGAAAAGTGGAGTTTCAGAAGGTAAAGCAACATTTTACTGCCTAATCACCAAAGTTTTCTTCATCTGAACCTTTTTATAAGTTATTTATGACTGATATTTTTAAACAATATATGGAGTGATTTTCAAACACACATCTTGATTATATTTCACAAATAAACAAGCTCTAGAAGCAGATCATTGTGGCTTCCTTATAGGCAGGGAAAGTGAAATATAACATAGAGTAGCTTTTTCCAAAGTTCACAGAACCCAAATGCTCCATGAAAGGGGGGTTGCAGGGTCATGTACCTTTGAGAAATGCTTATTAGGAAATCTGAACGCACATTAGCATGAATGGCTCTGGGAAGCCCTGCAGCAAAACATTCTATTTAACTTTATCACAGTGTTACTACCTCTAGAAGCCAATTCCTGAAAAAACTTTAGGCCTATAATAATCACATTAAGCTCTGGGTGATATTACTAAATTGAAGAGTCAAAATAATAATTTGGATTCTTCAGGGGAAAGCTTGTCACAATCACCCCTTATTTAAAATGAAGTAAGGAAGGCTGAATATCTAGATCATCTTGTCAGTTTCTGTCATTCAAAAAGGGTTTACTGAGCTCCTGTTCTAAGCCCAGCACTTCACACAACATCAGTGAAAGAAGACGTGGACCCCCATCCTCCTGGAACTTAACACCTCATCTGTCAGGTAATATCTTTTAAATAGTCTTGATATAGGGCAACCATTAAATCGTTTTGTTATTATATTTTGCTTATGGATTGTAAGGATGTGGAAAAAAAATTTTCAGGGAAAAAATAAACATCTAAAAAATGTTTGCTTCAGTTAGGATAAAAAGATCTCAATTGAATGTATCTTTTAAATCATTTATTTCTACACATTCATAAAATAATACTTACAAAAATTTTATGCATAAATTGTAGATCATAGCTTCTACCTAAAGATTCATACCCAAGACTATTTTACATCTATCATCCAAAAAATCCAAAATAGGTATTTGATGGGCAACTAATAAATAAAACACTGGAATTGAACCCCAGAAGCCATTTACCCACTGGGCCCACCTGCTAATGTTTAAGCCGGCCACAAATACTAGCACTAGCTCATGAGGGCTGCAGTTATTGTAATG